TAAGCGTGGTGTCGCCAGCGAGCAAGACTGGAGGAATATGCATACCATATACACAAACACCACAACTGGCTTCTCTCAGACAAGAAATAAGGTCATTTATAAAAGCAAGGAAGAACCAAGATGAAATAGCCCTTCCTTGACCAACTCCTTGCTTGACACAATATGTGTCTGATCTCTCACCATGGTAACAAACAAAGGATTCGCTATGAGTATAACAGTGATGTAAAAGATCCCAGATATTACCTCTTATACCAATTTCATATAATTTATAACATAATCCATCGTGCCAGAAAGGCAGAGAAAACAGCAGTTTCCCTATGAATGTAACATTTATTTCCATGAGCGTGAATACAGACATAATGGCTCCATGTTGGCGCCTACGGTCAAATTGTAACATATCCGGAAAATCTGGTCGTGATTTTGTTAAGTTATGTTCGATTATTTTAAAAAGGAGTTTTTCGAAAAGCTTCCCAAAGCAAGATGTAAAGGTGATACCTCTGTAATTTCGTGGGTCACTTTTTTGCCCTTATATATGTTGGTATAACCCTACCGAATCTATATTCCTTTGGGGCATATTGAGAGGTACTGATAGCATGGACTAGTTAGCACAGGTGGGTGATGAAAAAAATCACCGGCAAATATGATGTGTTAGTTTGTGATTCTATCAGGGCCAGGTGTTTTTTTAACTGAGAACAACCACCCACCCAACCACCCAACCACCCACCAAACCAACCAACCAACTAACCATCCAACCAACCAACCACGCAGCCAATGCTTTATTGCATGAAAGACCGAAGGTTCATGTGCAAAAGCGATACATATCAACAATGACATATATTATCAACTTCTAACTAACCAATTATTTTCTTTACAAAAATGCATCGTAAATAAAAAGGGCTACTCTGTGTTGTTTGCAGGTTCTTTGCAGAAAAGTAAGGAAAACACTAATTTAACATTGACATGAGATAAAGGCAATTGTGGTAGATCATTATGTTTTTGCTTTTCATATACAGTACAAATAAATCTATAAATACATTCATCTTCAATAAAGTTACAACATGGACATACACTTTGGGTCTTTTCAACAGAAAAAATCTTCCACGGTTAACTGGTAAATCATTAAGGCCTATTCTAAAACGTATAGAAGCACTACGTACATTTCTGTAGCGCATGTTAGCTAATACGACTCTGGCTCAAGCAACGACTTAAATTGAGTGAGTGAGTTAATACTTTATCGTCACATCGGCAATATTTCAGCCATATCGTGACGAAAACAATTTATAAATGGACAGTAAAAATACTAGATAATCACAAATATAATATAAAACTAGCCAGCAAAGCTAAAACATTCCAATTAAAGAAAACAATACAATATAAAGACGGGCTATAGATCGCCAAAAACTGAAGGTAGATCACCATACTAGGAACCATGGGGACTTATATTACTTTTGCTACCCGCATGGACCCTAGCTGGATTACACCATCCCCTCAGCCGCTGGCGATTGTAGGGAAATTTAGCCGGCACTTAAAAGAACAAAGATACTAAGTTTAAAAAATGGTAAATTTACATTTTACTTTGAAAGTTTTGGGACTTACGTACCCTCTCAGAAGGACAATAATTGTACAGTACTTAAACCCCCTTTGAGGGTACAGCCACTAACAATCTAGGTTACTAACCTAAATTACCAATCTTCAAAATATATTTATTTACAAAACACATTAATCAGAATTGATCAAATAAATCAGTTTCTTTTAAAAAAACAATCATTACTTAAATTGATGATATGAATGATATCTAAACCTTTCATTAATAGTTGAACGCCATTCCTGCTTAAACATATCAATAGCCCGTATACGAATCTGTCCAATAAACATGTTTACATTGCAAACTGTCTGTGGTAACTAAACATACCCAGAACCATATGTAAATAGTAAGGTGCGAATATGGGATGTCCAATTATTCTTACCAAGATTATCAAGATGGGCAAGCGTATTTAAGTCTTTTTCGGGCAAACTATGTTCAGGCATATCAATTATTTTACACCAATAATTTAAATAACGGCAGTAAGATGATATGTACAATGGAAACTTCCCACATTCACCATAAACCATAGCGTTTGGTGTTGACAAACCAAACATTTGGAAACCTTTTTACAGGCAAGTAAATGTTTATTTCTATCGTATAATATTCTTTAATGACATATTTAAGATCCAGTTAGAAAAATCGGTTGTATTTGCTAATGTGAGTGTGAGTTATATTAAAACTTTCTTTGCTCTCCTCGCCAGGTTAATTACAGATATATTTAGGTTTAGCGTATGGGTAAGCAATATGCCAAGGTATTTATTATCATTTACAACATCCATACGTTCATCGTTTTTCAGAATTTACAACCCATTTCTCTCAAGCCGGCAAAGGACCACCTCTACGGAATATATAAATTCTTGTTTTATCAAGATTCACATTCAACTACCATTTATCTGTATAGTATATCTAGTTGATTTTAAAAGTATATCTAGTTGATTTTGAAGACCAGTTACAGAACTGGACATAAGGATCACATCATGAGTAAATAGTAACAACAAAAGTTCTATTAGATGGGGAGAAAGTTGGATGCCATGTTTACCAGACTTCACGATATCTTGATATAATTCGTTATTGAGAAAAGTAGAAAAGTAGAGGACTTAAAACACATCCTTGACGTAGACCGACAGGGCAATGGAAAAGTCACTTACAACATCTCCATTTGAATCTCTCTAAATTTGAATACATCGATCTTCTGGTACCATACATTTTACCTTCAAATCCCTATTTCTTAAACATTTCCAAATTCTAACTCTATCTACAGAATCAAACGCTACATACAACTTTCGCTTGCTAAAGGATAAATATCTCTCACTGATAGCATAATAGGAAATATATGATCAACGGTTGAGTAGTCCTTTCTAAATCCTGCTTGAGATTCCGATATCTAATCTCTCATATTTGACCATTGTGTTAATCTACTGTTGATGATAGACAGGCAGATCTAGACAGACAGACAGACAGACAGTATTTATTCAGCAAAGAGGCCCTCGCCCAATATACAATCAGACTGACATTGTGTTTAGAGGGTGTGCAAAACAACTTTGCAGCCCTATGTCCTTGAGTTTATCAATGTATCATGGTATAAGTATAGGCAAGCATTGTACATAACAACATCTTTCAACATTTAACAAAGTTTTGAACTGATTGTAAAATATACATTTAGGAGATTCGCTAACTGATGAGAACCAAGTTATCACCTAGCCTTAGCTTGAATAGATACACAAACTAGTTCACATTTCCAATTTCTTGGAAGCATAACCAAATCCATATTGAATCAGAATGTGCCTGACTTACCCAGGTATTATAGCCTAATCTATCTAGTGATCATAACATTAAATAACATTGATGTGGGAGTCTATTTTGTGACATATGTATATGTCAACACAAGAATGTGATCACTATTGACATGTACAAATGCTGTAATGGGAGTCTGCCACACTCTCCAAGAACCATACCATTTAATGTAGTTTTTTTACCCTTAAGTATTAATTTTAATTTGCACAGTCTCTATTATTTTGGAATGACATGTTCCCCAAATTTCGGAGCCATAACAAAGAATAGGCACAATCATTGAATCAAAAATATTAAGTAGATCAGTGCAAACTATATGTTACCAATTTTCCTCTGAAAACCATTTAAAGACATCATAGCTTTAGAGGCCTTAGATGCAAGACATGTCTGCGCTTTACTCCAGACAAGCTTGGGTGTGAAAACTTATCCTAAATACCTATAAAAAGAAAACCTGTCAACAGGGGAACCATTGTAGAACCATTGCTCATAATGACCAATTAAGAGGCCCCCCATATTTACAGACAATAATCTTGGTTTTGTTTAAGTTAACTTTCATCCCTGTGCTTTCTAAAACATTTAATTTCTTTTGAAGCAAATTACGCGTGCCAGATAGTGCTGACATATCACCTGCAAACGTAAGTGCACACAGACTGATAATAGATGTAAAGGTTTTACCAAGAATACTAATCAGCGAAACCCCCATAAATGTCAGGCTTTTGTGCTTTTCCATTTTGATATATTGGGATAACAATAGACTGCACCCAGAAGGAAGGAAAACTACTTTTAAACATTTTAACCAGGGAGTGCAAGATATCAGGTAATGATTATTTAGGCATTTCTGGAATAACTCCATCAACTCCAGCAGATTTACCAACTTTTAGACGAGATACAGCATCCACTATATGATACTCCTTAATAATAGATTCCTCCTTGCAAAATAGATTCTAAAAATGACATAACAATTCTGTTTGTGATATATTTCCCATTGGGGTAGAGCGTTTTTTTTAGAGAACGTGTTTTTCCAAAAGAGTTTCGGACTGTTTAGGGAGTTATTAAGTCGTCCAAACCGACGCATTGGTACATGTGATCAAGACCAGGTCAGGCTGGTTAAAACGATTCCTTTAACAAGATTAGAGTGACACCGGCTCTCCAGTTGACCAAGGCAGATCGCTGTCCCACTTGTCCTGTATGGTGTTGACGTCGTAGTAGGAGAGATGGACTGACACAAAGTAAACCTATGTGAGTATAGAACACGATGTTGCCTCAATCATTGTATGAATGTGCGCCCGTGTGGTGTGGACACTAAGGAGTCATGGTCGTCCGACCACCTCACTCCTCGACGTAGTGATTAGTGGGTTATGTGGCACTGAGCTTTGTTTCCAGTGTTAGCATAATATTCAGACACGGTGTCATTTGACACAACGTGATATCAGTGATATTCAAGAAAAAGATATCATTCAGACAGAGTATACAGGCAAACAGGTTAATGTGTTGCACAAACTGGGCCAATGGACTTTAGCTTCCATTCAAGTAGTAGGCGTGTCACCGTGAGTTTCCACGAAAGCTGATTCTTGGAACGCGGCAAAAATAAACCCGATCAATACAGCCTAACATGACATGTCACCAAGCGTGTTTATATGCTGTGTAACCGTGCGGTATACCCATCTTGAGTGTTGTTGCAACTCTCGCATTTTGTGCAAACTCATTTTCCCACATATTGTCATTTCAGGAGGAAAAGGATATTGTTTTCTTTGCGTCATATCAAATACCTATCTTAATCTGTTAACAATGAATGTTTCCCGGGAACTGCTATGACGCAACAGTCAGACTTTACCGTGTACGGTCAACTTCAAAACTACGGGCTGTCGTATCTCTGTAAGTAACAAGCTAGTTTATCATTTATTACGCTTTAGAATATGGTATATGCTGTGTATCATAGTGGAGGCCGAAGTCGGCAATGGTCAAGTTATAGTGAAAACTGACTCTATCTAAATGTGGCTGTAACATAACTTCAGTCAGTAAGTCACGTCATCAGTCAGAGAGCACACCAGGTGGTAAACATTTGTTATTCAAGTGAACACTTGCTGTCAGCACTGATTATTAGTGGTCCATGTTATAACACCCACCACTATATCGCTTTTACTCCAACAGAATCTGTTTCTCATTTTGCATGTTTTCGTCTGTTTAGCACATAGTTTCCCATATCGGGTATTATAGTCCTGTCTTGTGCAAATCACTAGTAGCTACAGTAGCACATTATGAGTTCTATACATAGTACATCCTGTGTTGAAGATGTAGTGTAATTTGTGCTGTATATACGTAGTGCAGTTTTGTTTTATATGTAGTACAGTCCATGTCGTGTGTAGTAAATTCTGTGGTGTATATATCACTCTTTGTAATTGTCAAAACTATCTTGGTAAGTGGTTGCCCGAAGGTATTGATGTACACAAAATCGTATATTACCAGGTAATCGAAAGTCGATTGTTATACTGTAAACTGCCAGGCACATGTGTGATTTCATTTCCCCATATGCACGCAATCTTCATGCAGCATTTTCATCGTGTAATTGAGCCTTCCAACACGTGCACCGCAAAACATAATCGTCTTATTCATTTATTAGTATTTTGTTGACAGTTTCATTTAGTGTTGATATTTAGTATAGCGATGACATACACTAGTCCACACCATCTAGATACGATGACATACAATAGTCCACACCATCTAGATACGATGACACACAATGGTCCACACCATCTAGATACGATGACATACAATGGTCCACACCATCTAGATACGATGACATACAATGGTCCACACCATCTAGATACGATGACACACACAATTGGTCCACACCATCTAGATACGATGACATACAATGGTCCACACCATCTAGATACGATGACATACAATGGTCCACACCATCTAGATACGATGACATGGTCCACACAACGATGACATACAATGGTCCACACCATCTAGATACGATGACCATCAATGGTGACACACAACACCATCTAGATACGATGACATACAATGGTCCACACCATCTAGATACGATGACACACAATTGTCCACACCATCTAGATACGATGACATACAATGGTCCACACCATCTAGATACGATGACATACAATGGTCCACACCATCTAGATACGATGACATACAATGGTCCACACCATCTAGATACGATGACATACAATGGTCCACACCATCTAGATACGATGACATACAATGGTCCACACCATCTAGATACGATGACATACAATGGTCCACACCATCTAGATACGATGACATACAATGGTCCACACCATCTAGATACTAGATACGATGACATACAATGTCCACACCATCTAGATACGATGACACACAATTGTACTAGATACGTGACACACAATTGTCCACACCATCACCATCTAGATACGATGACATACAATGGTCCACACCATCTAGATACGATGACATAATCCTAGACAATCAATGGTCCACACCATCACCATCACACAAAATCTAGACGATGACATACAACATGGTCCACACCATCTAGATACGATGACATACAATGGTCCACACCATCTAGATACGATGACATACAATGGTCCACACCATCTAGATACGATGACATACAATGGTCCACACCATCTAGATACGATGACATACAATGTCACACCAACTAGGATGACCATGGTCCACCATCTAGATACGATGACATACAATGGTCCACACCATCTAGATACGATGACATACAATACGATGACATACCAATGGTCCACACCATCTAGATACGATGACATACAATGGTCCACACCATCTAGATACGATGACATACAATGGTCCACACCATCTAGATACGATGACATACAATGGTCCACACCATCTAGATACGATGACATACAATGGTCCACACCATCTAGATACGATGACATACAAGTCCACACGGTGGTCCACGCCATCTACGATGACATACAATGGTCCACACCATCTAGATACGATGACATACAATGGTCCACACCATCTAGATACGATGACATACAATGGTCCACACCATCTAGATACGATGACATCTAGATACGATGACATACAATGGTCCACACCATCTAGATACGATGACATCGATGGTCCACACCATCTAGATACGATGACATACAATGTTCCACACATCTAGATACGATGGCATACAATGGTCCACACCATCTAGATACGATGACATACAATGGTCCACACCATCTAGATACGATGGCATACAATGGTCCACACCATCTAGATACGATGACACACAATGGTCCACACCATCTAGATACGATGACATACAATGGTCCACACCATCTAGATACGATGACATACAATGGTCCACACCATCTAGATACGATGACATACAATGGTCCACACCATCTAGATACGATGACATACAATGGTCCACACCATGAGGATAGGTGTGCCATGAGATACAATGTTCCTCACAATCTGGGCACGATATTATTATACACTGAAGTTGTAGAACTTGACCGCTGGACCAAGTGCTACCATATTCCTCCTACCCTGAGGCGATATTCGTACACTCGAGGTAACTATTTTTCCATCAATACTCCTCGTTACATACCTGTACCTTTGTATGAAAACGAGTGAATATCTATTACAATAAGGAAATGGATTGATTACAACACGGTTTGAAATGCACGAGTAATTCCGATATTTAATGGGGGCGAGAGCAGTTATGTATTTATCACTAACTTAATCCTCCGAATTATCTTACGTAACGCTGACAAAAGAATTTAGTAGAAACAATACAACACAACACCAAATAAAAACACTCCAAAACCCAAACCAAACAAGGATCTTATGTAATATATAATACACTAGGTTCATGATGCAGAACAAATTAGTGCATATTATATTTATATTCATATTACATTCACCGTCAGTACACGAGCAAGTACTTCATTGTATATTGTATATTTTTGATTAATGATTCAGGATCAGTCACTTGCATTCCGTCTTTAAGACAAAATGATGCAGATGAAAACCCAACGTTATTCACTGATATGCAGAAAGCAGAGAAACTTAATCAGTATTTTCAGTCTATATCTAGTATTGATGAAGAAAACACAGATATGCCATTCTTTGACAAACGCACTGATTCTGTTTTAGATAGTGTAACAATTGATGTAAATGGAGTGTCCGATATAATTAAATGTTTACATCTTAAAAAGCTTCTGGCCCGGACAGAATCAGTCATAAGTTTCTTTAAAAATGTTGTACATTCAATAAGTATCCCACTGTGCATGTTATTTTAATCAGTCATTAAAAGTAGTGTATATCCAAGTGTTTGGAAAGAAGCAAATGTAATGCCCCTATTTAAAAAGGGTGATCCCTCAATGGCCTCTAACTATCGGCCTATATCCTTGATCAGTTGTGTGGGTAGGTGTTTGAGAGAGTGATGTTTAAACGTCTGTACAACTATTTTCATGCAAATCGATTATTGTATAAGTATCAATCAGGTTTTCAGTCTGGTCACTCAACTGTCCATCAATTAATTGAAATATATGACCAAATCTGTGCGGCTTTAGATGATAAAAAAACACTATTGTATGGTTTTCTGTGATGTCTCTAAAGCTTTTGATCGTGTGTGGCATAAAGGTTTATTGTTGAAATTAGAAAAATACGGAATTCATGGTTCATTGTTAAATTGGCTAGCAGATTACATAAGTAATCGTTCACAAAGCGTCTTTGTGAATGGAGCCCTATCCAAGCCGGGGTATTTACAAGCTGGTGTCCCTTAAGGGTCAGTCCTCGGTCCTTTCTTATTTCTTGTTTATGTCAATGATATTGCTGATGATTAAAACTGCTTGACACGATTATTTGCTGATGATTCGTCTCTTGGCTCATCTTCTCATGATCGTCTTTGAATTCAAACTTGGAAAGGCTGCGGGCTTGGGCAAAGCGGTGGCTTATAACATACAATCCTGATAAAACTGAGGCAATCTTTTTCTCCTTGCAAAAGAATGTTGATGCACTAAATCTCTACTTTAACGGGGTTTGTGTCAAAACAGTTAATAATCATAAACATTTGGGATTAACATTTTCAAAAAATTGTAAATGGTCTGACCATATTGATAATATTGTAAGAATAACTTCAAAAATGATATCTTCTCTACGTAAACTCAAATTTTTATTACCGCGCTCTGTATTGAATAGAATTTACGTAATGTTCATAAGACCCCATTTTGAATATGCGTGTGAAGTATGGGATGGATGTGCTAAATATCAAGCAAATTAATTAGAACAACTGCAATTAGAAGCAGCAAGAATTGTAACAGGTTTACCTAAATATACTCATCATGAACATCTGTATTATGAAACTGGTTGGGAATATTTAGCAGAACGTAGGAGAAAGCGTAAACTTCGCCTTTTTTACAAAATACAGAATAATATGGCACCATCGTACCTTATTGATCTTGTTCCTGGGGACGTAGCATCTAAATGTAGCTATAATCTTCGCAACTCTGATGATGTCTCACTTCCTTTCTTGCGATTAAAATTTTTGTATGATTCTTATTTTCATCCACAATTAGAATGTGGAATGAACTTCCAGTAGAAGTTAATAAAGCGAGTCATTGTATTCTTTTATATCGAATATTGTAATAAAACATAAAACTGCTCCTCAATACTTTGATTCTGGACCGAGAATCACTAACATCATCCTTACAAAACTACGTTACATGTGTAGTCAGTTGAATTATGATCTATTCCGTGCTGGTTTAAGAGATAACCCAAGTTGTTCTTGTGGAAATGTTTGTGAAAATTCTTATCATTACCTATTTGACTGTCAATTATATACAGTACAGAGAACTACCATGATGACTAATTTACGCAGCATT